TGAGTGGGGGGGGTGTGGGGAGGACCTAACCAAACTCCCTTGCTTGTATCCCACATCTCAAGGTGTCTCCCCGTGGAGCTGGGGAGACACTTGGCCATCATACATGAGCGTGTCACGCGTGTTTCCAAACCCCCAGTTACACTCCATTCTTCCCTGCTCTTGAGATCTGGAAAACCACTGCAGGCAAGGCCCATTGGAGAGGCTCCTACCCTGAGAATTTTAACCAGTGAAATTCCTCTCTTGAACAAGCTGTGTGCCCTTAGGCAAATCACTCAACCTCTCTGAGCTTGCCTTCTGACTTGTGCAAGAGGTCATTTCCCCCTTCTCTCTGGAAATATGACAAGATGGGCCTGTTTTCCTCCCTGGCTGGGAAGCTTTTCCAGGCAGGAACACAGTTCTTACATTCCTTGCTCTTCCTCTCCCCCAGTGCCAGAGTACAGGAGGCACTCAACATGCTGAATAAGTAAACGTCTTTTAAAAACTAATAACTGTTCCTGTTTACTCTGTGCCCGGCACCAGTTTCTATGGCTCTCTCATTCAATCCCCATGTTGCTCTAAGAAGGTACTATTACTCCCATTTTAAAGATGAAGAAATCAAGGCTCAGAAATGTGTCTAGGTCGGGCAGTTCTGCATGGGGTAGCGGCGACAGAAGCCAGATCAGAGCCTCACATGTGTTTGCAGACAAACCTTGCTCCTTGAAGAGGCAGGGACATTCATGGGAGATAAAATGAGGCTTGTCTGAGACCAGCACAAAAGGAAGGTTTCTTGGCTACTAACTTGTGTCTGCAGGGGAAGGGCTCCCTCCACAGAGATCCCTGTCTGCACTGCCCCTGACTGCTGTGGTCCGCCGTGCCCTCTGCTCCTACAGCGTGGTTCACCCGGGCATGTCTGGAGATGGCTTTGGTTGTCACAACTGAGTAGGTCCACTGACATCTAGTGGGTAGAGGCCAGAAATGCTCCCAAACATCCCACAGGACCCAGGACGGCCCCAGGACCAAGGATGATCCGGCCCAAATGTCATAGAGCGGAGGCTGAGCAACCCTGAGCTGGAAGGACGGGACTCCTTGTCTGAAATCCCTTCTTCTGAAGCACGTGTTATTCCCACCTCACAGATGACGAAGCTGAGGCTCAGAGAGGTTGGACTTCCTTGGGAAAGTCACTGCCCGTTGGTGTGTTTTTTCCTCCTTCTAGGGTCCCCCCAATCCTGGCCGACACTGGCCCTTTGCTACTGACGTGCCTCGGGGGCTTGTAGTGGGGAGGGTGACCCAGGTTCTGAGGGGAAGCCTTGGGGCTTTCTCAAACCCCTCTGTCCACCTGGGCACAGAAGACACAGACAGAGGGAGGAGGACAGAGTGGCTCCCCTGGGGAAGCCTCGGGGAAGAGGTTCTCCGTGGGCAGAAAGGATGGACCCCGGGTCTGCCCACCCCCTCGCAGCTCCAGAGACTAGCCTCCAAGTGTGGACGCCCAGAGTCTAAAATTAGATTCTCCTCCAATTTAGCCAGACTCAGCCATTCTCCAGTGCATCCCGAGGGGCCGGGGCGGGCCTCCTGAGCCGGTGCAGCCTCCTGGTCACCTCTGGACCCCTCTCTACCTGGAAATGAGAGGCACTGCTCAGCCTTGGGGCTCTGAGTGGGACCTCAGACATCTCACGGCAGGATTCACCTTAAATAGCGCAGGAGCCGGAAGGGAGGGCCCCAGCATTAGGGGGTGGAGGGCGGTTTGTTGGGGGCATTTGGCTACAGGGGTGAAAGGACTCTTGGCCCCAGCACCTCTCAGGGGCAGGGACAGGTTCCCAAGACCCTCAGGCTCCATGGAGCTCCCTCTGCTGGGCGTGCTGGGAACCTTGCTCCTTGGGAAACCGAGGCAGCCCCGAAGTTATAAGCACTTAGCACTCGGCTGTTTTATTTCCTAAAAAGTGAAACAGAAGGGAGGTGGGGCCCAGCTCAGCACCGTGTGGGTGGCTCCCCTTCCCCCGTGCCCACCACCACCTCCTCCACCTTCTCTCCTGGGAGCCCACAGTCAAAAGAACTCCTGGCCTCTGGGATGTCACCCCCTGTGCCGCCTGAGTTGGAGGAAGACATGCTCTTCTGGTGAAAACAGCTTGAGAACAACCAGGCTGGGCACAGCTGGTGGCCGGCATCACCGGAGCTTCCTGTGTCACGTCCCGCCCGTCTCAGCGGGTCTTCCCCCGGCCCTCGGAGATGACTTCCTCGGGCTGGGCCCGCATGTACCACTCCACCCAGGAGCCGTCGTAGATGGCCACGTCGGGCTTGCCGCAGAGGTAGGCCCCCAGTGCCACATGGCAGGCTGTGACGCCGGAGCCACACGTGGCCACCAGAGGCTGGGACAGGTCCACCTTCTTGTCCTGGAACATGCGGCGGATCTCCTCGGGCGTCTTCTCCAGGCCCTCCTTGGTCATGAAGTCCGTGAAGGGGATATTCACGGTGCCGGGGATGTGGCCAGGTTCGATGCCTGCAGCCGGAGGGAACAGATACAAGGGCGGTGTGAATGGCCTCTGTGGTACTGAGAGCCCCCACGCGGCCATGGCGCTAACTCCCCGATGGACATCACCTCACGTGGCCCACACAACTGGAGACCCAGGTGCGACTTCCGGGCATTCCCATTTCACAGGTGGAGTTGCTGAGGTTCAGTACTGCCCAAGGTCGTGCCTCCAGCAAACTGCTGGTGGGAATCTGAACCCAAGACTCAGAGCCCTCCAGAGCCACACTCGCCCAGGTTCCCTGAGGCAATGGAGCTAAACAAGACCTCTGCCTCTAGGACAGGGAGCACCTGCAGCCAAGGAGTTTTGATCCAGCAGAGCAGACAAGCAATAGCTGAATAATTACAAGTATGATGAATGTTGCCAAAAGGCCCTCCTGCGTGGGGCACACCATATAAGACGATAACAGCTCTTTTCCTCCCTGGCCGCTTGAAGATAAACCTTTATCATGAATGACACGGTAACTATCTGGACCAGGAAGTTCATGACCAACAGACTACTTCAGCAGAAGCAAGTGGTCATTGATGTCCTTCACCCTGGGGAGGCAACAGTACCCAAGACAGAAATTCGGGGAAAACTAGCCACAATGTAATAGACCACACCTGATGTCATCTTTGTGTTTGGATTCAGAACCCACTTGGGTGGTGGCAAGAGCACTGGCTTCGGCATGATTTATGATTCCTTGGGTTACACAAAGAAAAATGAACCCAAACACAGACTTGCAAGACATGGCCTCTATGAGAAGAGGAAGACCTCAAGAAAACAGAGAAAGGAACGCAAGAACAGAATGAAGACAGTCGGGGACTGCAAAAGCCAATGTTGGTGCTGGCAGAAGGAAGGAGTAAAGATTCTTCGGTGACTTTATCTGTGGTGGTTGTGCAGGTTTTTCATGAGAGGATTAATAAACTATAAACTTTAAAAAAAAAGAGATGACAACAGCTGGCATCACTGAACGCTCACTTTGTGCCTAGCACTGTTCTGAGCCCCTCAGCTCCTTTAATCCCCCCCCAAAACTCTGTGGGAAAGAAATTACTACCCTCTCTTTTGTAGAGGAGGAGACTGAAGCACACAGACTAACTTGCCCAAGTTAGTAGGGGCAGAGGCCCAGAGCCTGTGCACTAACCATCAGGCAGCACTGCCTGGGACGGGTGGTCAGAGAAGCTTCTCTGAGAAGTCCCTGAAGGGTGGGTAGGATTCAGCCAGGTAGAGGAGTCTGGGCTGCGGGAACGGAAGGAATCCCTCGGAGAAGCGCTCCTAGGGGACAGGGAATAGCATGGTGCTTAGAGGGGTTAAAGGTCATCATGGCAAAAGCCCAGACAGTGGGGAGGCTGAGGCCCAAGGGGAAACCGAGGCGGGTGGGAACATCTGAGCAGGCCTGGCTGAAGTCTTAGAGCTCTGACATGACCGCCAGGGGGAGATCAGACTCCCATTTCCAAAAGATCATGATTGTAGCAGGAAGAACAGGGGCAAGGCTAGAGGACCATTCATTTAGGGAGTCATTCCTGCACCCACATCTCCAAAAACTTCCCCAGGGCGCCCAACACACGGTTCACTGTCACCACTGGTCATTTTGTTCTCCCCACCCGCTATGAGGCAGGTGTTACTAATATTCCCATTTTCACACCAAGCACCGAGATTTGCAACAAAATAAACTGTAACGGGCACTGGCTCGAATCTCAGCCACTTGGACTCTAGGGTGGCTTCTGCCTCAGTTTACCCCCTGCAGTGGAGTGACACTGCTCCAGGGAGCTGCTGACCCAAGCCACTATCTCTTCTCAGGACCACATGGATAGCCAGCACTGTGGCTCCTAGTGAGGTTGGAGCGGGCCAGGCATCTCCACTAACAGATGCAGAAACTGGGCTCAGTCAGGGACATGACGTAGAGACGAACTCGGAGCCAGAGAAGCACAGCAAGCTGCCGACCCCGGCTGGCTCCGGTCAGAGCAGTGCTGTGCCTGCGCCTTGAACCCCACCAAGCAAAGCAGGCTTCCCCTCCCTGCGGGTAGGCGCACTTGGCCAGGGTTTCGGCCTGGGCCGTGGAATGGGAATGATGGGGACAGGGAAATTCTGCATGGGTTTAGTGCTGCGCTGCTCACTGACATTAAAGGTACAGGCTCCAGGAGTGAGCTCCTGGCTGGGCTGCTTCCTGACACCTTCAGCACCTATCAGCCGGGGTCACCCTTGACAATCAGGCCTGCTGGGTGTACCTCATCTCCCGTTTCACGGACGAGCAAGCATGACTGAGGTGAGTGCGAAGCACCCGGGGAAAGAGCCACAACCAGATAAGCACGTTAACTATATCACTTCCCATTTCCTGCGTGCGTCCCTGTCTGCCAACACGGAGCTGCCCTGTGACATTTGACCCTGACCCCATCCTTGAAGTTCCGCATTCTGCTGCCGCTTTACACAGGCAGAGACTACAGGTCAGAGATGAGGTGTCCTGCAGTGCAATCCGGGGCCGGGCTCTGTCACACGGCCAGGTCTGGCCCTGGCTGGCTGTCCTATGTTGCTTCACTCCCCGATCCCCGCCTCCACTCCCCGGGGGCTGAGCTGAAGGACCCAGCAGTGTCAAGATGGCATTCTTCTTAGGCTGAACCTATATGGGTTTGTCAATGGTTGGATAGCAGCAGTTTATATGGTTTGACCCATTGTCAACACTGCTCTGCAGGGTTCTACGTGGCAGGGACCTTCTGAATTTAATACTCTCAGGCCTTAACTCTGTGCCAGGTACTGGGTGAGCTCCAGGCTGCACCGGGGACAAGCATGTCCTTGCCCTCAGGCCATCCCAAACTCTGCTGGGATAGGGTGAGCCCGCTTGGGGAAGCCCCACCCCCCATCCGAGGGCCTGGGGGTGCCATTCAGGAGAGCGCCCCAGAGCAAGTGGCAAGTTCCTCACCCCCTCCCTGGCGCAGGCACAAGAGAGATGGCTGGGGAGTTACTGGCCGCTCCTGGACATTAAATTACAGGCTCCAGGAGTTCACCTCCTGACACCTGCAGCCAGCTCGCCAGCTCCGGCTCCATTTCCTCTGCTCTACAGTGACAGCCGACACCTTGAGGGATCACGAACAAGCTCACACCCAGTGGCCGCTGACTCACCTGCTCTGTGGAGACCCCTCCCTGCTTCATATGGGCTCCCCTGCAGGCTCCTTGCCTGGAGAATGGAGCCCCACCCAGAAGACCCTGCCCCAACCCATGCCAGCAGCCACTAACTATTCAGTTTCTGCCCCAAACTGGGCAGCAACCTCTATTTAGTGCCCCCTCTCTCCTGCCCTCTGCCAGCCCTGTCCCCTGGGGGTGTGTGTATTGGGGTCGGGGCTCAGCCTCCTCTTCCCCAACTCCATCACCCTCAGAGATGGCCTAGACCTGACTAGGCCCCATTTCTTTGGGGTTTCTCCCAAACTGAGCCTGCCCACCGCCCCTCCTATTCCGCAGTGACCCCTACATCCATAGAATTGGGGGGAGGCTGTTTGGGTTCTCACATATATACACCCTGGGTTCCCAACAAACCTGGGGGAGTCATTGCCCCAAGCATCGCTGTCTCCAGTTGAGGAATAAAGTCAGTGGGGCTCCCAGAGTGAGTTACTAGAAACCAAATCTTGGGCCCTTTAAAGGCAAGGGCAGTGCCCAGGGGGCCCCTGATCACTCTCCCCGGGGGACCGCCCAGCCCCTGCGGCCAGCCTCGTTACCTTCTCTGGGCTCCGGCTCAGTGCCCTGGAAGCGGCCGGCGGCTCGGGCGTCCACCACCTGGAAGCGCCGGGACTCCAGGTTCTCCTTGATGTCCTCGTAGGTCTTGACAAAGGTGGGGTCCAGTGTGGCCCGGAACTCGGAGGACGCGGGGCGGCTCTTGCCCGAGCTCAGCGGGAGGCCCTGGCGCAGCCAGTTGCGGAGGCCGCCGTCCAGCAGGGAC